CGCTCAGGGCCGCGTAGGCCGTGCCCCGGGCTGTGCTCCGCGCTCCGCCGTGAACTCTTCGAAAAAAAAAAAAAAAAAAATTTAATTGTTTGCAGTGGCAGAACAAGCCCGAACCGGTCTGCTTATTGTAACTCACTCGCATGTCGGAGCTTGCAAGGTAATTGTTGGACTTCGGTTCCCCCATTAATTAGGAGCGGGATTAAGTAAAAGATCCTTGGGTATGAGCAACGAAACTCGGCCCGGCGAGCTGCGGGGTGGCAGCTCGTAGAGGTGTCATGCAGAAGCGTCGGAGCGAGCGGAATAAAGTGCGCAGATCCGCATTTCGTCTCCAGTGACCGTGGAGGTGCGTGAAGCCAGCAATGCCAGCCACTCAGCTCCTCTTCTGGCAGCAGGATAGGAATGACCAAGGGGCTCTGTGCAGTGTGGCAGCCCCAGTCCCAAACCACCAGGATGTCCTTGCAAACGCGTTTCAAGGCCACAGCTGGTTTTGGCTTTATTTTTAAAGCAAGTCAGATAATGTGGTTACAAATCTGGAATCGTGGCTTAACAATAGGGTGTTAACTTTCTTTAATAGACTTAGGAAAATCATGTTGTTGATCAATACTAGATATTTAGTAAGTAGGTTAGAAATTTTTACTTAGAAAATACAAATCAGGAGGTTTACAAAATGTGTTAATAGATTATTTTTCTTCCAGTTCAGCGTTTTAGAGCAGAAAGCAAGGAGGGGAGAAAGCTGAAGGAATCAAGACTAAATAAGATTAGCGTAGCTTTGCTAGCAGTAGTCTTTAAAATGCAAGATTACAGTCCTGATCTCACTGGCTCTACTGTGTTGGCCCTTTCTTAAGGATTTTTATGTAATTATATATTTTTATTACATATGTATGTAACTAGAATGCTACCAGTGAGTGTCGGTCTGTTTTGTATGATATTTAAACCTGAGCAAAGCCAGTCCTCTTTGCCTTGATATGAAAATGGATTATAGTGCTGTAGCTAGTGTTGACTGTTCACTTTCATTTGAATTGCACGAATGGGTATCAGCCTGAAAAACAGGAGAGGATGTTGTGGGTGTTTTTGCAATCAAATTGTGTAGGATTGGCGTCATCCCTTAAGTTTTGTAGTTTAAAAAGTCCATAAATCCTCAGTTCAAACTCTGGTATTTGGTGTTTTTATTCTTAGTAGTCCTTACTTTTGCATACGTTTCAATCTATTTTTAAGGTGGTCTTTAGAGGTTTAAAAAGTAATGAAAATTGGATCAGTGACTCTTGTTTGAACCCAGGGTAAAACTCATGACCTGGAAACAACCTGCCCCCCAAAAGCTCATTTCGGTTGGTAGCTGCGCCTTCTGTCCATGCCTGTAACGTGTGTTAGCTCGCTTGGCACCGGTGGTGGGGTGTGGTGCTTGAGATAAGTGGCTTGTTTCCAAAAGGGAGGAGGAAGCATAGGGCTTTCTTAAATGTCAAACATCTCTTCACGAGTTGAGGATCTCCTGTGTGATCAATCCACAAATGCTAGATAGCACTTCAAAACTGCTCTACAAAACTCAAAAGATATCTGCAGAACAAAATTTTGCAGAGCTATGACATAGACTGGGTAGCTCTAGTTCCCTTGCTCTGTCAGTTATCCCTAGTGAAAGGATCTGTGCAAGCTAAACCCCCTTTTTAGCTAACGGGCAGCCTTTATCTCTCTCCCTAGCACAAGTCTAGACATAGAGGGAAGCAGCGTTCTTGTGGGGAGGTTGGGTTTGTTTCCAAACCCCTTTCTGCAGAGCTTCCTTGCTTAACATCACCTGACTGATGTGGAGCTATGGAGGAAAGAGGAAGGAGCCCTTTGTCCTCCAAACTACCACCTGAACATACATTAACAGATTTATCCCTGTAATTATCTACTGTCACCCTGAGCTGTAAATTAGAGAGGCCATGCTTTGAAAGTAGCCTCCTCTTCCCTTGTTGGGCTGCAGCTGGGACCCAGCTGACCCTTTGGTTGAATCCTGGTAATGGCTCAGTGTTTGTTCTTCATGATGGAAGCAAGCAAGAAAAATCTTTTCGATGTGGATGTGGGGTGCAGTATTTAAGAAACTTGCCACATAGACAAAGGGTGGGACCATCAGCTCTGCTCCCTGCAGTAGGGTGGTTACTCAGTGCTTTTTTTTCCCTTCTTCCCCACCCCTTCCCATTTTTTTCAGGCTTTCTCAGTTATTAACTACCTCTTTCTGACATAGATCGCTAACTCTTTTTTCCCCTCACCTGCTCCATCCCAAGTCAGGATAAAGAATTTTTTTTTTTTTTTTAAATCAAATAAACAAAACAAATCCCAAAACAAACTCATTTCTGTTTGACCCAGGTAAGCTGCAAGTGGTTCTCTGTGGTTTTTGCCCTTCCAATACCAAGGGAGGAAAGTGCACAAAAGAAAGTGTTTTCTTCCACTGCATCTCTATTCTGTGGGATTGAGGAGGGAGTTGCAGGGTTAGAGTCAATATACTGCATGGTAGGGCACTCTGCTAATCATGCTGAACTAATTACTGTTGGATTTTTTTTTTTTTTAAAAAAGAAAAACTGATAGTATAGCTGTAAACTGGTATGTCAGCAGCAGGAAATTCAGTACCTCATGAAACGTGTCCTGAAACCTCTGGTGTGTATGTGAAACTTGCCTACCATCCAGTCACATCGAACATGATAGACCTTTGTGAACTGGTTTATGTTATAGTTAGCCTGAAATTCAAGCTGTCAAAAACCAAAAGTCATACCAAAGTACATGTTAACATGCTTTGAAAGCTGCCAGTCTTTTTATTAAGGGATAATAAGCAGTGAACTCTGAGACAATGCCTTTATTTTCCTTTTCACCGTCCCCTCCTCTACTTTTCTTTAAACTTAATTTTGGAGGCTTTTGCTGGTTGTTTTTTTGGAGCTCTTCCAAATGCACTTTTTCTTTAAGCACGAAGGTTGCAAAGCCAAGATAGGTACCTCCAGCTTTCTGCTCCATAGCGATTGTTACTTGCTGCAGCACCACTCTGAAAAGCAGCCATTATTCGCTTGCTCTCTGAAATTTGCTGAGCCAGCAGAACAGGAATGGAGAGGCTGCTTACCTGGAAGCTGAGCAGCTCCAGTGTGAAGCTGGAGAGGTGGCTGGCGGTGTCTATAGGTGCTCACACACCTCATTTAATCACAGTCCTAACAGTTGTCGCCTACAGGTAGGGTATAGAATATTATAAATGCCTAGAACGGTATAATTGCCAATTCTTAGAGTATTCCAGGATAATGGAACACTGAAAGGCTGTGGGGGGATGTTTGTGTGTGTGTGTGTTTTTACTTTGCAGTGTGCTTCAAGAAGCTGTTTGTGTTTCCTTAGTGCAGCTGCCTGGTGCCCAGCTGACAGAGTTGAGGAGTCCCACTTTAAATGGAGAGGATAAAGCAAAGAAGTTCTGTAACGTGACTTGCTTTTCAGAAAAGCAACCTCAAAGCTGGAGTTGAACTGTAGGGGTTTCTTGATGGAGAGTTTGGTATTTGGTCTGCTGGACGTGCCTTTTGTTTTAGGGCTGCCTATGCTGTGAGCCAGGGAGCGCGTCCCGCCGCGGGAGCGGTTATCCGCCTGTCTGCGGCCAAAGCCCCCTTGCAGCAGCCTTGGCTTTGCCCCTTGCAGCTAAGATGCTGCTGTTCCCATCATCTAAGTCACAAACCGGGTTTCTGCAGTGATCTAGTAGGCTTGAGATTGTTTCCAGTTGCCAAAGTGGCGGGGGGGGGGCTGGAGTGTTGTCTTGTTTGTTCAGTTTTGTTTGTTAAGGTCTTGTAATGTGTCCTCTCTTGTACGTGGCAGTCTTGTACTGAAAATAGGGTATCGCGATACTGCAAAATGTTGTTAGTCTTAACAGTTTTTGACTGGATGCTGTATTTTCTCAGAATGTAGTTCCCCAGAGACAGAAAAAGTCAGAACAACAGTCTTAAGTTACCTATTATTTCTTAAGGTTGTCAGTTTCTGCAGTGGTGTATCAAAGCTGAAGGTGTGATGTTCACTTCCTCAAGGAACGGAGCATTAGTTTGTATGTTGACTTGAGAATCGCACTGCTGCATGGAAGTTAATTTTATTTCTCATCTGAAATAATTCAAGTATGTTGGATGCAATTCTGAGACCCTCAAGATGTCCACTTTCCTTCCGCTGCCTCTGGGAGTTAAAACCAAGTACAGGTCCGCATCGTTTGTATGCCAAGTAGCAAAGAGAGAGTGAGCACTGAACAGCAATGCTGCTTCAAAGGTTTGTGATGATTTTTGGATCTGAAGGGCAGGCAGGGTTTCCTATTTCCCCCCCAGCATACAACATTCACTTTAACACAGAAGGAAGGAGTGATGAGTCCTTTCTTGTAGGCTTAAATTTAATACTTGGACTTGTCAGCTTTGATAGCAGGCTGTGATTTCCCTCACCACCCGTCCAGCAGATACTGTTCTGTTCGGTGCTGTTTGTAAACTGGAAGTAGATTGATCTCTCTTTGCTTCTCTGAAGATTTTATTGGCTACTCAGATGTAATTGGGAAATAATATATTGAAGGCCAAGGCTAATAATTTATAAGTATAAAAAGAGTGAACTATGAACTACTCACAGTATGCCCATTCCTTATTTGCTTACCTGAAGAGCCCTGAACGTCTTGACGAAATAAAAGCCAGTGCTACTACGTGCCAAACAATTGTGTCAATAAGCTTGTGAGAGGTTGCTGCTTTGAATTATTTTGATTCCATGGATTCTTAAACCGAGAACGATCTTGAGCATTTCCTCCCCAATTTGCCATGGGCTCAGGGCTGGCGAAGCTGAAATCTGCTCTTCCATGGGGGCTTGAGGCCACTATGTGCTCCCTTGTGTTAACCTGTCTTAAGTAACTTAACCTCCTTGTGCATTGGCTCTTGGACAACAAAATTATCTGGAACCCTTAAAAGCAGAACCTCTGAGGGTTCAGTTCATCTTTTTTCTTCAAGATAGCATAAATTTGCTGTTGTTGCACTCAAAGAAGCACTTCATGCCACTTCCCATACAACACCTGTTTTGTTAACAGGACTTTTCTGCATTTTTGCCTGTAGTGTTTGTTACTATATGTAAATACTTGTCTATAGTTCAGTCTCTGCAGATGTTTTAAATGCTGGTTACAGCTTTTCTGCCTACCTGTGTCTTGTTTCATCTCTTTGTCTTCAGAAGCCAGTCTCTGGTTGCTAGTCATCTGTGTGGGTTTGGGGTTTGGTTTTCCCTTACTCTGTCCAAAGACTTAAAGTTGGTTTGAAAATAAAGTTGCATAGATGAGCCTTTTGTCTGATCTGCTTTTCTGGGGTGACTTATGGTGTGTTTGTGTTGCTGGTATGCGTTATGTACAGCTACAGTTGATGTTGGGGTACACAGAAGTTGTGGGGAAGGAGAAAGCAGACTACCATTTGTCTTATGCTTATACTAACAATTAACTTTGATTTTTCTTTTTTTCTTTTTTTTTTTTTTTTTAAGACTATGACTGTTAGAGACTGTCTTTGCCAACCATGTTTTAGGATCCTCTGTTTGGTTTTTCAATTGAGATTTCCTGATCTCTTGCAGCAGAGCTTCCTCCTCCGTACACTGCCATTGCAAGCCCAGATGCCAGTGGTGTTCCCGTAATAAACTGCCGTGTGTGCCAGTCGCTAATCAATTTGGATGGCAAGCTACACCAACATGTTGTTAAGTGCACAGTTTGCAATGAAGCTACGGTAAAATGGATTTTTAGCATTTCCTTTCTGTGGAGGGAAGGGCGGGGGGTTGAAGTACATGGTTCCTGCTGTCCCTGCAGAGGACCTGGTGGCACAGCTGACTGCCAGTGTAGCTATCGTGCAAGTTGAAGGGTTGCTGGCACAAGGGTGGCCGTAAGCAACTAGAGCGAATCTTCGTGCTGTTGATGAGGCTGAGCACGGTATTTCCTTCTGAGGCAGAGGACAAAAAGCAAAGATCTTGTTTAAGCAGTTACTCTTCTGTAAAGAAGGGTGAAACTGATTTTGGTGGGATGAAAAGAAATGAAGAATTGAATTATTTTAAGAGTAGAAGAAACAAAGCAACTAACCCACACCTCTCCCTGGATGTGTGCTTTCCTCCTGCCATACTATTCGGTCAACTTGTTAGCTTGCTAACAAACCACAACACAACAGTGTTGAAATGCAGAAATTGTAGGTTCTGTTTCAGTGATCAGAGCCCTTTTTGCTCCTCCTCCCCTTTTCTTAATTCAACTCTGCAGCTTTTGGCCTTCTGCATCTATTTTTTTTCCTTCCTGCCAGTTTCAGTTTGGGGATCTGATACTGCAGCACTCCACAGCTACTAGGGGCATTTGCATGAAAAACACTGGATTAGATTTATTTTACAAAAAGAACTTTAAATTATGTCCAGAAAACAGGAAGCCTTAAATCTGTAGGAAAAGTTTGTTGTTTTTTTTCACTTAAAAAGAGACAGTAAAGAACCTGCCATTAATACTCACTTTCCTTCCAATATATGATTTTTCAGGCCAAAGAAAGTATCTTGCAGCTTTTGAAAATTGTGATTTGCTGTGTGAAAGGGACCCAGAAGCTTGACTCCCAGATTGGAGAAAGATAATTTCAGTACAGTTAAAATAAGATTATAGTTCAGCAACGTCTACATATTTTCTTAGTGACTGAGAGCCAGACTGTGGTCCTTTCCCTGTTGAATAAAGACATTGTATGAGACAAGGAGGCTTGCTTGATGTTTTAACTGTTTTTTGAAAAAATATACCACTACTTAAGTTCACATTTTAAAAAATAACTGAAGTTTTGAATTCTTCATTGCTAAAATATGAATAGTTTTTCCATTAGTTTGCGGAATCTCTTGTTTGTTCTAGTGAGGAAATTTGCACATCTTTCTCTGGGCAGAGACAGAAATTTTGTCTTGACTCCGAAGTTTCCTGTAAGAGGAACTGTATTTCTCTGTTAGTAAGAAGTTTTCACTGAAGTTGTTCTCCTTTGTCATACTGTTATGAAGAAAAAAGTGAATTGCCATGACTTCTGATGTGCGTTCTCTGGTGTTGTTTTTTTGTGTGTTGTTGTTTAGCCAATCAAAAACCCTCCTTCAGGGAAGAAGTATGTTAGATGTCAATGTAATTGTCTTCTTATCTGCAAGGATACATCTCGGAAAATAGGCTGTCCACGACCAAACTGGTAAGAATAAAAAACTGTAAGTGCCTTGAGATAGTTTTAAATATTCAAAACAAAGAGCACTGTTCCTTTAAAGAAAACTGAGAGGTTCAAGCCTGGGCCTCTGTACCTGGAGCATTACTGAATTAGTGCAGTGCAGGTTGTGATAGTGTCAATTTTGAATTTTTTTTTTAAGATTAAAGAGGAAAAAAATTTCTATTTTTCTGTTTAGTGTAGTCTCAAATGTATCTTTCCCATTTTAGCTACTTTATAAGGAACAAAGGTATAAAGAACAACAGAGGAGAAAATCCCTTCTCGTTTCTGGGACTTAACCTTTGTAATTTTTTGCAAACTTAATTATTGTAAACACACAGGTTTCTCACTTTGCCTAGTTCAGAGTGGGGACTTCAGAATGAAACAGGCAGGGGAGCAGCAGGTTGGCTTCCTTCCTGTCCTTCCTTTGTTTTGCTGAGTTTTCAGTCTCCTCTCAGCTCTTGACTTTAATTTACACATTTGCTATAAAAGAAACAAGTGTCGTTGCCGTCGTGAGCATTCTTACCGTTGGGCTTAGACTGGTAAAGATCCCACTGTGGTAGGAGTAATTAGAGCTGCACCACTTAAAATCAAACGGGAGAAACTGAGATGAAGGCTAGGTCTGCAGATACTTGAATGGAAGCTCTGCCACGCCAAGTGCCTTAGTCACCAGTCTGTGGGCTATTCTGGTTTTGAAACATAGTTTGAGACTTGAGGGGTGTGATATTTTTAAAATATATTTTTTTAAACGCAGTGTTGAGGAAAACTTCAAAACATCCTAAGTGTTTTCTGAGAGTGAAAACATGTTCATGGGATACTCCAGTTGTAATACATCATATGGTTGGTAACCAAGCTGAATCAAAAACTCCCTAAATTTACTAAAATAATCTCAAACGCATATATCTTAGCAGCTTCCAGCTTCCCTAAGATAGCCTATGTGTTTGTCTTACTTGAAGATGAGCAAAATTGGGGTACTTTGAAAGAGAGAGTTGGGAGTATGCCCTAAATGGAAGGCTCCAGATTGAAAGGAGGTCATCCAGAATACAATTTTGGTTGTATATGGAGAGAGATGGAGTGCAGGTTAAATAATGCTTTAATTTTTCCCTTCACTTTTTTTCATGCTAGGAGGCCTGATCCTCATTCTGCTTTGAGTTGGTTAATTGGGGTACTGTCATTTTGGATGGACAAATTGTATAATCAAATTGGGGACACATAGAAGTAAATACTTACAAACTGTAAATACTTACAAAGTAAATTGATTGTACTTAGTCAACCTGGGGTGGTTTTGGTTTTTAGTTCACTCAATTTGAATGGAGTTTTTACGGTACAAATGTGGGCATGCTGCTTGTATTGACATGGTTGGCAGTAGTGTGGGAAGGAGGAGTATCAAACTTGGCAAAGAGAACTAGGTTATGGAAGAGTCCTCACTCTTTCTACGTGTTTCACATGGGTATGTACGTTCCAATTATGGGCTTGCTCAGCCTAGGTATTAAGATTTCATTTTCCTGAGAAGTTTCTGTCATATGATGGCAAGTCTTTGATCTCTATGGGGTTCTGGCTTGCATGGCTGATCTTACAGTGAAAGAGAATGTTTTCAAAACTGAAAAGGAAAATACTTTGGAGAGAGACCAAAACAGGGTGCATCATCTGTTTAAAAAAAAAAAAAAGCAGACTGTAGTTTAAAAAAAGCAGACTATAGTTTAAAAGTGTAAAATACTTAGTAATGACTGAGCTAATTACTTAAACACATCGTCCTTCTCTTTTTCTACCTTAATTACATGTACATTAATGTTCTTAACACAGTAGACGCATCATTACTCTTGGTCCAGTAATGCTGATCCCAGAAGAGCAGCCAGCTCAGCCTGCCTTGCCAGTTCAACCAGACGGAACTAGAGTGGTATGTGGGCACTGTGGAAATACGTTCCTTGTAAGTAGAGCACCAGATTCTCCTTTGCACTTCAACATGCTATTGCTCAAGCAATTTGTTGTAAGCACTTTTAAGAGTGTATTGCCTCACTCTTATGTCGTCATTGAGGATCTAAAGCTGCTTTTGTGCTTGTATTGCTAGGGATGTATGGTCTGTGTTTGGTTATCTTTACGTGCGTTTCAAGAAAACTTCTAACAGTCTTTCTGTGCATGCATGGATAAAGCCCAAAAAAGCCAAGTCTTACTGTTTACTGATGCAAGAGTGGACAGTGCTGGAAAAGGAAGCTGTGCTTCAAGGTTCTGTTTAGACTTGAATGATGGTTATGTTCTGCAGTAGCTAAAAGAGCAGTTCTGCCATTGCTGTACGGACCCCTGAAAGCTGTTTGTTGTAACACTTGCCATTAGTGTATCTGTCAGTTGTTACAGAACTGGAGATTTTTGGTTATATGTGAGGCTGAAAGTTGATCTCATTTTTGAAGTGGAAGGATGCAAGAGTACTCTTTCTGTTGAACTGTTTGCAGCCTTTTGCATGGATAAGGGCCTGCCATACTTGAATTTTGCTTTAGGAACAGTCTTGGCAATACACAAGTAAGTTAGCTTTAGCTGCATGATCTAGCAGTGCTAGAATGTTTGTCAGGTTTGTGAGTTACAGGTGTTGTGGTTTAACCCCCGGAACAACTAAGCACCACACAGCCGCCTGCTTAATTCTCCCCTGGTGGGATAGAGGAGAGAATTAGAAGAGTAAAAGTGAGAAAACTCATAGGTTGAGATAAAGACAGTCTAATAAATAAAGCAAAAGCCGCGCACACAAGCAAAGCAAAACAAGGAATTCCTTCACTACTTCCCATGGGCAGGCAGGTGTTCAGCCATCTCCAGGAAAGCAGGGCTCCGTCATGCATAACAGTTACTTGTAAAGACAAATGCCATCATTCCTGACGTCTCTCACCTTCCTCCTTCTTCCCTAATACCATCATACGGTATGGAATATCCCATTGGTCAGTTGGGGTCAGCTGTCCTGGCTATGCTCGCTTCTGTCTTCTTGTGCACCTGGTAGAGTATGGGAAGCTTAGCAACAACTAAAAACATGGGTGTAGTGTCAGTATTGTTCCTACACTAAATCCAGAAGCATAGCACTATACCAGCTACTAAGAAAAAACATTATCTCTACGGCATACCAATAACTAAAAACAGCAGTGTAGTATCAGTATTGTTCTCAGCACAAATCCAAAACATAGCCCCATAGTACCTACTACAAAGAAAATTAACCCTTCGCCAGCCAAAACCAGTACAGTGGGAAACGGCTGAGATAATGGTACAGCTGAAGGACCTGCATAGTCACCAGAGTGGTGTTACATTCCTGAAACAAAGGATCATAAGATACATAAAGGCCAGGGAATACTTTAGTGCGTTTTGTGACAGGAAAAAGAAAGCTTAGAGGACGGCACTCCATGTTGGCTTGTATCAGCAGTGAGAGAAGGGTTTGCTTGTGATGGGCTCTCTAATGGAGTAAACTTGTTCCTTCAAACCTTTACTTCAGGTTTATGGATCAGTGAGGTGCGCAATAGTGGCTTAACTATTGTAGTAGATGATGAATGCAGGGAGCAAGAGATGGCTTTTACCTTCTAGCTTTAGCCAGCCTGGAAACTCAGCTTCTGTGAGGGTATTTTTGCCCTTTAATATCTCCGCATTGTAAAGCAAATATGTCATGCTAGATGCATCTCTTAGCAACTTGGTATCTCCTTTACTTTATTTGGCAGTTAAAACGTAAATAAAATGGACAAGCAAAGCTAGAATCCCTTGGGGTGGAAAAGTCAAATTGTCAGTTGCTTGTTCTGTCTTCTTTTGAGAGTATCAACTTATTCACCATCTTTCCAAGATTATTATTTTTTTCTTTTTTTAAATATGAAAGCATAAGTATGGGCTGTGCTTTCCCTGCCTTTACACGTGGGGAATGTTTTTGTAAATTATTAAAAGCATGCTCCATGCTATGGAGTGCCTTTGAAGTTTCTCTGTCTCAGCTGGGAGAATGACTTTGTACTGAAGTGATACTGTAGCTGAACTATTCACTAGTTATTCACATTTTGTTCATCAGATTATTTTTTTTCCTTGGGTAACCTGATAGGAGTGATTTCTGTGTTAAGGTTTCCATTGTTTCTAGCAGATTTGGAGTTCAGACAAGTGGAAAAAGTGGTAGACTAGAAAAGGAGGGCAAGATGAGAGTTGAACTGTACTGCTGAATCGCAATCTGATCTGGTTTGGGCTCTTTTGAGAGCTTCTAGACTTGGGCTGTGCCTGAGTTAGTTTCTGCCAGCAGTAAGTCATCCCTCACAACTCCTCTCCCAGGGGCCTCTGCCTGGGATGATTTGTGGGTGTCGGAGGCTGAGTTGCCTTTGGAAATGGTGGCAGGCAGTGGGGCAGGGTGTCCCTGTCCCCCTCTGCTACCATCCTGCTTTTGGAGAGACCCTCAAGGACAGGAAGCCAGGAGCAAGCCATGGAAGCCCCAGGCTGTCGGCTAAGCACTGTTGTTTGTCAGTTGTACTCTGTCAATTTTATTTTCTTAAAACTAATCAAATGCGAAAAGTATTTCTTCTAAAATAATTGAATAGAAAACACCTTAAATTCTTTAGAAAACTAAGAAATCTTTTAATCTGCAGTATTATGCTTTCCCAAAGGACCTAGGGAGAGTGGAGGGGAAGTTTTTTTGGCAGAAGCAGCTGTATGTAGGGATGTGCATGTATATATGTCTTTTTTTTTTTTTCTCCTGTCTTGTATTGAATGCATTTAGAACTATTTTAGGCTCATAAGGAAGAAAGTTTGACATACTCTTCTTGTAAATCCCGTGATGGATGTCTGGTTTTGTCCACAGCTGAAACATTTAAGAGCTCTCCGAAATCCTCATCTGTGTTTCAGTACATCTAGCCAGGGATTTGGGCTATTGTTTAGTGTATTGTTTCAGTGGGAATAGTACAGTTTGTATTGTCAGAACGGAGCTGAATTTCATGTAACTGTAATCTCAGGTTTTCTTAGTAACATGAAACAAGATTAGATACCTTAAAGCATTCTGGAATACGCGTGAAAATACCAGCTTTAAGCTACTTGTTAAACCCACGAAAACTCCAAGAATTAGAATGTGCATGAAAATAACCTTTCCCAACTGTGATAATATGATCTGAATTCTTGTAGATTGAATGTCTTGTTGCATTTTTGCTTTTTTTCTGTAAATATTTCTGATGTGTGCAGAAGGCATCATAACAGTTAATGCTTGTGTTACTTCTAGGTAACGCTCAATGAAAACAGATTCTATTTTTTTTCGATCAAAATTTGGAGCTCAAATGCATTTGAGTTTGTATTATTAATAATTATGGCTAATAATCAGAAATATTAAAACAAATAAAACCCTAGAAAGACCATTAATGAGTAACTCTGGAAATCGAGTTGCCTACCCTGGAATAAAGCCAGTGTACAGGAGTGAAATTGGATTACAAATACATAAAATGTAAGTCCTGGATTGGTTCTACTTCTGGAATTGCAGTTCAAAAAGCTGAAAGAATAGCTCTGAAGAGACCTGTCTCCATCCCTGGTACTGACAACTGCACCTTATAACACTTTTGTTGTATGTAACTAAGTGAAACTGAGTAGTTTTTGACAGGGATGCAGGCAAATAGCTAACTTGCTCCTCTGATAGGAATGTGGAAGTAGTTAATGCTCCTAAAACACATTGCTCAGGTGGGGAGTATTACAGAAGCTTTCAGTTTATTAAGAGATAAAATACAGCTATGCTAAATCAATTTGGCCAAGTCTTTGTAAACAAATAAATTTTAAAGACCAACTAGGCAACTGGTATTGTAATTGGATACTTCAGAACCAGGAAAAAAAAGATGATGGATTTCTTCTTAGTGGAGAATTAGCCCCATTGGAAATAAATAAAACGGAGAGAGACCTTCAAGAGGCAGGAAGACGCACTCTACCACGGATCAGAACCTTGCTCACAGCAAAACCTTCTCATATTGGCAAGGCATTACAAGCCACATCTTCTTTCTTTGCACATAAAATAATAAATTTCTTCTCGGTCTTGAAATGGTGCTGTGCTGTAGCTGGTCCTGTGTTCTGTGCGAGGAAGGGCTCTGATTCTGTTTGTACTTGTAGCAGTTACACCACCACTAGTCACTGCAGTAGACCTACTTCTGATTTCTCAAAGAGATAAGGAGGATCCGAATGGAGGCATTGGTGGTCTGTGCTGTAGGTTTTTCCCCTGCTAGTAACTTGCAGTGTGACTTTTGCATAAATTAAGAGGGGAGGGGAGAGAAAAATGATATTTAACCAGGAAACTGTTCTAACTGCCTCTAGTTGAGAAAGGCAGCAGAAGAGAGCTGCAATTACAATATAACTGCATTGCTTTCGCTACGACTTTTCCCAGATAGGTTTTAGTCTGTTCATGGAAGGTTATGACCATACCATGTACGGTTTTATACATCACTTTTTAAAAATGTCATGTAAGTAGCCAATAGTGTTCTCCACTTTGTTGATATAAAACTTAGACATCTGCTTTCTAAAATACTCTTTAGCTAATCTTTCTGTGCACATTTAACTTAGTTTTCACAAATGATGCAAGGGTTGGGGAAAGATGAGAAAATACATCTATCTGTAATTGTGCCAAAGAAAACACATTTTATTTTGATTCAGGGTATATTCGTAGTTGTGGAAGTAAGAGGGAAAAAACTGTTTTAATATTATCATGTTGCCCGTACTGCGCCTGTGGATGAAACCACATTACGTCAAGCAAATCTTGTAATACTAAGGCAAGTCATGGGAAATTTTCACAAGGAAATCCCAATCCTATGTTGCCATTTATGGAAGAAAGCCTGAGAAGCAAAATGTTTTCACAGTGCCATTTAACATGAAGTACAACAAACATTTTCTCAGGCTGTTTTTTCAACCTTTTTATTTTTCCTTTTTACAGTGGATGGAACTGAGGTTTAACACCCTAGCAAAATGTCCACACTGCAAAAAAATGTAAGTTCTCTCATAATTAACATAAATTAACTGTGAAGTTGCTGATGTTTCTTCTGTAAAAGCCTTTGGAGTAAAATGTGTCTGCCATGCTAATTGTTTTGCCATGCTCATCTGAATTTCAAGGCTAAAGAGCGTTATGTGTCCATGAATTCTCCACTCCATATGCACAAATCAGTAACTTTGACAAATCCAGCCTGTTCGTTAAAATGTTCTGATTGAATTGCTAGCTGCTAACAATAGACAGGAATGGGTTGTTAAAATTAAGAACTTAAATCCTTGAAATTTTATCACTTCATGCAGTTAATCAAATGTCGTGTTTAAAGGTACAACTTGAATTGCCTTATTGTAAAATGAGAAAAGGAAGTAATCTTGTCATAATTTGAAAGAGGTTTTACTGATTCCATAAACTCAGCAACTAACTTAACCTGTTAAGTATCTTAATGCATTAGCAAGTTTAATGTTTATGAATTAATGTGGAATAACCTGTCTACTCATTTGCTATTACTTCAGTAAGAAGGAGAAAAGTTAGAATACAAGAGCTGTAAGAGTTTTTTATGTTTTGTTTTTTTTTGTTTGGGGCTTTTTTTTTGAGTATTTGTTTGGCCTTTCTTATCTGAGGTTGGGAATGCTTAGTTAGTTTGAAGCGTTAACAGTTACATTACTAACATACTTTAAATTAGTGTGGAATCTCAACCACAGTGTGTGAAATAAGACTTAAAAATATTACTTCTCTTGTCCTACTGATTTATTTAAATATTTGTCTTCCTTTGATAAGCAAGTGTGACTTCAGTTAAAGGAGAAAATGTGTTTTCCACTGGGAATGGAGAACCACAGCTGCGTTGCATGTTGTAGGAAAACTAGCAGGTCCCTTAGGAAGCAGAAGGCTTAAGATAAATTCACTGTAGATGTCGGCATGGCCTGGCCTTCAGCAGGGATTAAAATATTTTACTGGAGTGTTTGATAGGGAAGTCAGTCTAGTGGTATGTGTAACCGAGCAGGTGTGGAGTAGTGGATATGTTCTAGATTGCTAGGTCAAATAAACTCATGGTCTTGACGAGGTATTGCTTTGCAGAGATTTTTTTTTTTTTTTGTACTGACTGTAATCACATTCAGTCTTTTCAGTCCTGAGGGGAGGGGTTGGTGTTTTGTGGTTTGGTTTGTTTGGTTTTAAACTAATTGCAATTATGGTTTATATTTTATCATGTCGCACTGGATAACTGACTTCGGCTCTTTTCTTGACTCTTCTTAGGTACAAAATTATTTGTTGTTTAACCTTAAAAAAACCCAACAAAAACCAAGCGAACAAAAAACCTAACCCACAAAATAACAAAAAAAAAAACCCCAAACACTCCAAGCAGCAGTCCAGAAGTCATACCACGTGATCTTTTAGTCTGTCCTCTGTTGGTTTATGTTGCTGGTGTTTTAAAATCCAGCTGGAGTCTAAGGATTTCTTAGTATTTTTGTCTTCAAAGTGCAAAGCATGCCACCTGTGTGTAATAAACCAGGAACATCTCTGCAGTGCACTTTGTGAAAATTACAGCTTGAGTGTCAACTGAGTTGCAGAATACAAAACGAATTTTAACAAATGGGCATTTCTGTCCTTGGGCTGAGGAGTCAAACTATGGAATATTATAATTTAAGCTTTGAATGAGTTGCTTGGTGTCTTCCCACATTTGAGATGCAATGGTCAGGAGTTCTGCACTTTCAGCAGCATAAACATTTCTAATGCATGGATTTAGGGCACAGAACAGGTGAGGCAGAGCTTTGAGTCGTGAATGATGGAATAAATAACTGCAGTGACCTGCTGCTTTCTATCAGCCCTTTGTCAGAGGTCATGGTACCTGTACTCCAGTAGTCACAAGGGAATGTGGGGTTCTTTATTTCAGCTTATTTATGCAAAACTTAATGTCAAATCTTTTTCTTTTTTTTCCCCTGTTTTAGAACCTACTTATTTTTATTTTAAAGGTCTGATGAAAATGATGAACCCTAATGGGTTTATAACATTTTTGTCCCATAAAGTGTGCAGGACCTTTAGCAAAGAGAGAGATGTTGGAACCTCATCACTACTATGGAGGCTAGTTTCGGGAGTAGTATTCACCTTCAAAATACTGACATTTGATCTTCCTCTTTAAAACCCTTCTAAAAAGATGTCTGAAATCTCGGCAATAATTCCTAGTATTTGGAGCACAAGAGACCCTGCATTCTTTCCTGTGCTACTGCTTTAATAGCCTCTGTCCCTTGTAGTGATTTTTTTTTTTTTTTTAACTTCTTCTAATACTACCTGATGCTAAATTGGCTTTGGTGTCTTTTATATCTGCTGCTGCCCAAAGATCTGGCAGGTGCCTTCGCTTCCTTCGCAGCAGCTCAGAACAAATGAACCACTGCCTTCTGGATAGCTTTGTAGAGACTTCACCCTCATTAGTCCCACAATAGAAACAGCTGCATCTGCGATTTAAAAATGTCGTTGTGACCCCAGTTTTAATATTTCTGAATGTGCTTGTCAAAGTTGCTGCAGTTGGTAGGTTTTGGAGTAAGGTTTCAACTTGCTTTATTCAAAATTAGTTTGGGTTTTTTATGTGTAATTTGGGATGGTAAAGGGGAAACCTCACTATTTTAAGTGGCCCAGTGGCCAATATCACTGTTGGGAGATGAAAAATAGATTATGATTTATTGGGATTGGTAAATATTCCCAGGTCTGTTCTGTGACCATAGAAACTGCATATATTTAATCTGTGCTTTCTGTGGAAAGAAAAAGGCAGTTAAAATTAAATTAAGACATTCTTTACATTTGCTTTTTGAGGTATTTGAGGTGATGGTTTCTCGCCCAGCCTTTCTTACTGGATAGGTGGAGACAGAGCTTGAGAGAAACATGGATGGAAAATACACATCACCTGCAATATTTCGATTACAAAAAAAATTTTAAGTCAGACAGCTCTGAAAGTGAAGGTCTCTCTCAAAAGGAACTTTGTGTCTGTGTGAAATACACAGTGCAGTAAATACCATGTGTGTTTTAGGTGTATTGAACATGACATTTCTACCAGCTTATCTTAAAGTATCCAGCTCTGTAATAGAATTAACTTTCTGAGTACATAGCCAGGAAATCCTGCAAAGGAGGGAATCTAAGGTCAATTTGGCAAGCTCAGAGTTCATCAGTTCAGCTTTTGGAGATGTCTCCTCCCTGTCCTCTTTTATAAAACTTGTTTTGTTTGGGTTTTTTTCCTCATGTAACTTGGAATCAGACCACATGTCCCTCTTCTAGAATGGCTGTAAAAGTATTCAGGATTGCTTTTGAGGAGCGTGGTGGTGGGGCGAGAGGGTGGTATAATACCATTATTTCCCCTACTGGTAATTCTCCCACCCTAATCACACCCCACACACCCCCCAGTCCCATCCCAAATGTGTATGGTGAGGCTTTCAGTAAGAAGTAATTTGCCCAGGGAAATTAATCAGCAGAAGAGTTTGGGGACTTTTCTTCTGAAAATGTATAGCAGATGGCTTGTGAGTGGTGAACCCTTGCCTTGCAAGATGAAGTTCAGCATGTGCTGACTAGCTTGAGGACTGTGTGTTTTGTTTGTTTGGGTTTTTTTGTGTGTTTGGGTTTTTTTTCCTTGGAGCATTTTAGAAATTCCTTGGAAAGAAAGAATGTTGGAGCAAAGCTGCTTAAACCAATCTATTTGAAGGCTTTCGAAGATGAATGCTTAAAAAAATTCTAGTCACATGCTAAGCATGAGGCCTTACTATGTGGTTAATGAACTGGAGCCAGAAATTTGGTCAGTCATATGACAGATGTACTACTTCAACAGTTCAGCAGTGCTTTCTTCTGTTATACATTTATGTTGAATATGTTGAACTGTCATGAGATGGAAATGAGTATCCCTTGCGTCTTTGAACACAGAGTACAAGCATCCCAGTATTTGCAAAAGCATGTTGATTTCTCAGAATGAGACAAAGTACTTAACTAATGATAGCATGCTTCAGGATGCTTCAAAACTACCTGTAAGATAGATGGTATGTCTTTTATGAGAGCACCTCTGCCTCTCTAGTGCTTTCAGTGGACCTACGTGTTCCCTGTGTTTCAATGGAATTACATCATGTTCCTGTTTTGCTCATTAGTATAGCAGTACGTGATTGCAAATGTGTGACTCAAGATGTATTTGCTAAACAACACTGAGCTTCTGGAGTAATTCTTCGAACCTGGAGTAAAGAATGGAATGTTTTATATGCATTTTATATTCTGTTTGACTGAAGCACTGTGATAGTTAACTTAACGCAGCAGGTAGAGACAAGGCTGTCTCTCTTGGGAGTTCACAGTCTGGATGATGAATGACAGAACTTCCAGGGGATTTATTTACCTTGGCTGTCATCAGTGATTAGTGCAGCTCATGTAAGTTGTGGCAGAACTCTAAAAAAAAATTGGAAAGTAAAAAGAACTTGTCATGTTTTTGAAGTCACTAAAACTGACTTAAACGTGTCTAAAGAATTTCAGTCTTTGGAAATGTCGAACACAAAAAATCTTCATTTTTGTGACTTAAACGGTTTGGGTTTTTATCTTCAAGAAATGAGTTAGAGTTTAGTCACTCAACAGTATTGAGTGTACTATTCCAGGAAATAGATAGTGCAGGTTGTTATTGTTAATGACATTTAGGGGTAGTAGAGGTGATTTCCAGTTAATTAGATGCAGTGAATGTATTAAAGCCATGTATTGATGTATTAAAAGTCTAAAGGATGTCTTACAACCCACACAGAAGCTGCAAAGCAAACTTGGGTTATGCAATTCAAAGGCTATTCAAGGTACTTATCTGGGTGTGCTGTGTGTATAGGAGGTGGACATGCTCAAACTGTAGGTGTGGCACCACTCTCTTTGTTGTAAGCAGCTAGATTTTTTAGATATTAGATAATCATCACCAATAGTTGCCCTTTAAAACAAACATATAGGCTGTCTTTTACTGCTTGGTATAATTGTAGACTTTGCCTACAGCTTTATAAACTTAAGATGGTGTATGTGTATTGCCATTCTCTTCCCCTCCTCCTGTTTAGACTGAACAGTTACTGTTTATGTAGTGTGGCTTTTTTTTCTATTAATTAAAATACCATTTATTTTCTAACAGTTCTTCTGTTGGAAGTGCACTGCCACGGAGGCGCTGCTGTGCATATATTACAATTGGAATGATATGCATCTTCATTGGAGTTGGATTAACTGTGAGTGATGTACTATGATCTACTTGCAACTGTGTGCAAGGGTGTGCATGTACAAAGGAGCTCCCTTCGTCAACCAGCTCTTCTTTCCCCAGCATTTTAGTAAAACTTCCAAAGTTTGTGTGGTTTTTGTCATCTCTATAAAAACCGTGGACTTAATTTTCTGAGTTAGCCAGAAAAATGGAATGTTCCTAAAAAACTTTTTCTGGCATTCTGACAGTCTCTTCTTCCTGATGTTAAATTTGACTCTTCATCTCTCTGAAAACTTCAGTTTTATGAAAAATGGTTTTACTTCACTGCAGAAATACTGGAACATCTTGTTCTTGCTAGGGGTCTCAAAACTTCCAGAAATACATATTGCTGTATAGCCAAGAATGTAAGTTCCACTGCAGCGGAGGTGAATGGGATTCCAAAATTGAGAAACATGTATATATGCCTTCATAATTTTTACAAGCTACAAGGAGTAAAACCATATAATAAGCTATTTACAAATTAAAAAGCTCATATTGTTGTTACTCAGAAAATGATCTGGCTTGCTTGGCTCTGAAGTATCTGGTACGGGTTACTAGAGCCAACTTTCTACCCAGAAAAGTACATGTGAGGAAATACCTGCAGTTGAATTCATATATGGGATTCTCATTATACCCCTAACTTGCATTATAACCTGAATAATTTTTTATGTGTGAGCTTAAATGAGTTAGGAAGGATTTTTCACTTTCCCTAATAAAAACAGTGACAGCCAGAAATAAAAACAGCGAGAGATGGATTT